GAAAATATTTTTACATGCAGGATCAAATTAGAAAGCAGAAAATGATGTAATTTATTACCTCTAAATCTCTATTTAAGTTCTCGTGGCAAATAAAATAAATATTGGGTAAATTACTTAAATGTGAGAAAGATACTGAGGAATTTTTGTGTAAAACTATTTTCCTTTAATTTTAACTAATAAAGAAAGTAGCTACAACCAGTTGTAATAAAACAATAATTCTTAAAAATAGCTTCCTGCAAATGAACATTTTTTTACTTATTGGTTATACTGCCACACATGAAAAAATACATTTTAATTACTTATCACAAAAACCGTCAATAACAGAAAAATTAAGAGATGTAAATATATAGCGAAGTTTAACATGAATGGAAATATACAGGGTGTTCGATTTAGAAAAACCAAGTTTTGGCGGTTCGAGGTTAAGCAAATTCGACAATAAATTTTCACCATCCTGTGTAAAATTAAACAGTTTTTAAAGTAACTGTAATAAATTATAGGCATTCCCCTATCGCACTCCCAAATATCCCACAAATAAATAACTAACTTAACAGACAATACAATGAAAATTTTATTGTTATTTGTAAAATTACAAAATGTTCTTCCCATTTGCTTTTTGCTAAGAAATTTTGTACTTTCGTTGACTAGTCTGACTCATTTCCATACCTGCAAGTAGGCAGTCGTTATATAATTAACAAACAGCACATAATATTCTTTGCACATGCAAATCCTGAGCTTTAGCAGATACAATCTATTTAAATGAACGGTGAAGGTATTAACATATAAACAGTATAAACAGTTGTGAATTGCACACCAATTGTAGGCTTCCGGATATTTGTATTTCTTTCTTTTTTTGCACAGGGTGATCTTGTGATAATATCCTTTGTCGTTACCTCAGTCATTCCTAATATAGAGGGAAATATGGTTCTTTTTATCAACTCATGAAACATGTATTTTTTACATATAAGGAGAAACCTTTCTCTTCCAAGATGTAGGAGTTGATGGGTCTAGCTCAAATGTTAAACTTCCTAGTGTAATAATGACTGATAACTTTGTCGTAAGCTTTATTTTTATGACATTCTCTTTTAAACACATTTGGATTAGTATTTTTGATAAAGATATAGGAAGTTTCTGATATCAGTCTGTCCAAATTTTTGTGAATTTCAATAAGATTCAGTTCTACCAAGAGAAAACACAATTACATCTAATAATATTAGGAAAAATATTTACTTTTATTATAGATTGAAGTATCTTAAGTCACTTAATATGGAATATATTTGCAATAAATAGTATGTACCTAAAGCATACACATGTAAATCTATTATATCTGTTTGCTCATCAGTTTGTGGATTCTTGTAACTCCTTCAACAATTCCTCAGAATGTTTTAGTTGGGTATGTACAAATTGTAAGGGAATTTGTAGTATGTAAGTGATATTAAAAAAATACTTGTTTAAATTATAGTTTAATTTAATTAAAAGACAACAAAACGACTTTATCTGTTGAGTCAAATCAGACGAAAATTTGAGACTATTTTTCCTGATTCCTTGTTTATAAACAATATCAAAATAAGTATTATTTGCTACAGAATAATCACAGCAAAATATTACACAATTAATATAGGTAGAAATACCCAGTCAAATAAAAAGAGTAACCAAAAATAATCACTAACAAAGAACAAATCCCTAGACAGGTATTATTTATGAACAAGGAACCAAGAAAAATAATCTCAAATTTCGTGTCATTCGACACGACAGATAAAGTCGTTTTGTTGTCTTTTAATTAAATTAAATTGTCATTCACTTATACTTAATTACATATCTATTTACAAAAAACTGAATATATTTATTTCAAGTTTATTAATTACTTATTCCATTAAATGTAGCAATTACCATTGTCAATTATTAAACAATTTAAGGTCATTTAAAATCGATCTGGCGCTTAAAAGGTACTATATACGTATATTTTGAATAAATTTAATTAGTAGACCATAGACTGAGTGTAGTAAAAGTTTATAAACCCGTCAGGATTCAATAATTTTTTGCAAGATTTTAAACAATACATCTAAGTTGGCTATACACTGATTGCATCAACTACTGTATTCTTATATTACTTCATTATGGCTTACGACACAACATAATTATTAGAATGTCAATTCTTTGTGAATACTGATCATGGCAGTTGTCTCTACTTACTATGTTAATTTGAATGCTTGCAATGATTTGTTCACAACAATTATTAAATCTTAATTGCTATGTATCAGGCAAGCCTCAATTATACAAACGCGAAGCGATTTTCAGTGTGAAACAAAACCTAATCGATTAAAGTTAGTTGCCTATTTTTTAAGCCTTGTTTTATTATTTTTCGGAAACACCAGATTTTGAATAACTTAAAAATTCTTATTCCTTGTAAAGAACAATTGAAATTTGTTAATTAAAGTTGCAGGAATAACAGAACTTTCACTTAATATTCATCATTGTAATAATACTAATAAGAGCCACAATAAACATGTGAATAATTTTATTTCCTTTGAATTTAACAATACTCGAATAGCTCCAGTAGGTTTTTGCGTTGTTTTCACTTTCGTAAATGTGCTTGGGAATAAAATATTGACATAGTTTAAGGTAATACCACACGAGGATTGTTAAGAAAATAACCGAACTTGAGACAAGAAATCATAATACCACAGTTCGGTTAAATTCGAAAAAAACAGTAATCACTCTGAATCTGAACCCACATAACCCAGACTCATAAAATTTAAACCAATAAAATCTAAACCCACAAAACCTTAACTAACGAACCCCAACCGACAAAACCCAGAGGCATAAAATGTAAAAATATAAGGTCTACACCTTAAAATCTAAGTCCATAAAACCTATACGAACAAATCCTGAACCCATAAAACCTAAACATATAAGGTCTAAACCCATAAAATCCTAAATCCATAAGACTTAAACCCACAAAACGAAAACCGATAAAAGCAAAATCTATAAGACCTAAGCCTATAAATCCCGAACACAGAAAAAAGTAAGCACAAAAATAAAATCCTTGATGTTCTGTTCATTCATTGTTACTATTTAAATTTACTCTAATAAATTTGTAAAACATGCGTTTGCTGTTATTCTAACCCCACATTTTAAGAATTATTTTCACGTACTTATAAATAAAAGTAAACAATTTTATATGTAGGACTAAGCAAGTAAATGTTATAAGAATATTTACATGTGGAGTTATGTCTAAAAAAGTTAGTATTTTCGTAGATTTCAGTACCTAAAACCTTGATGGTTTGATCGTTTTTTCCACCTGTTTATTCGTTTTACTGCGTCGTCTTTGAAAATACTCAGGTGGCATGACATAACAATCCTATTATTTGATAAGCTTTAGATTATTCAGTTATTAAATGTTTGAAATTATTTGTCTTTGCGGAAAACACTATTTAAAGAATATGGGGCCCTTAATAACTATAGTATGACTTTAATCGTAGGTAATATAGTACTATTATCGCTTTTAATTATATTTTGACTTTAATTATCGCTAACGACCTTGCCAACAAATAATCTACGTTGGTATACTATTCAGTGAGAGAAGATGTAACGACTTTCCACAACCGTTGCATAATATAGACTAGTGTTAGAAATCCTCGTATATACGTAAATGGCTTTGTAGGTTCTCATCAAAACTCGCTTGTTTCTTAAAGCAGAAAACATTATTTCCTTGTCTACAATTTTGGTCATAATTTTTTTTATGCGCTTTCAAAACTCCAAGCAATTTCCTAGTTGTCTGGATTATTTCGTTTCGTTATAATTATTATTTTTTCATCCTCAACTTTTCCGTTTATAACATACAGGGGGTTTCAAAAACTGAAGATAGGAAATGCAATTTTAAACAAAAAGATTATTTAAAATGGTATAATTACTTCGATACTTGGAATTAGAGAAACATTACAGATTAAACAAATCTCATGTGATTATGAAGAAGTAAATTAATTTATACTTCAACCTTGCATATTTTTATTAGGCTATCTTCTACATATCAACGTATATGTTTCGACATGTCTATTTCATCAGTGAAGCTTTAAATGAAAACAGTAAATACTTAACTTGCATTGCCACTGAAACACAGTCATACCATTTACATTTTATGAAATTCAAATGTCAATGTTAAACATGTTGGGACTACAAATCTTACTAGGAAAAAAATAATTAAAAATTGTGCTACTGTTGACTATATACAATCTTTCTACGTATGGGATATTAAAAACGAAACAATAAACAAAATTTACGATGTTATAGAAACTTTACTATAAAAAATAGTTCGTTACTTTTATTAACACGTAATTTGTTTTGGTTATTACTTTGCATACATTTCATAGAATTGTTTTGAGTCCCGCCGAAATCAAATTATATTTACCGAATAAAGTATTAGTTTATTGAACCCTTTTAGTCTCGATCAGATACATTATTCGGACGTTAATCTGAAAAATAATTGCCTGGCGTTAAATAATTAACGAAACAATTTATCAAAATAGGAAACTAATTGATTCCTGAGACGTATTAACTTTTTTCCTGTCTAATAACTATAATTGTTGCACATATTAACTAAAAACGTACAGGTACCTGTCAAATTAAAACAAAAACAAGGGAGTAGCAATCATACCACCTATGGACTATATAATTATTGTTATTTTCATGTCAATGACTTAAATAAGTAACACTGACTGACAGGATACAAACTAATTATTATATTTTTGTCGTTATTAGTTGTTTTTTCGCTAGGTACGCTTACATATATTATCGTGTATTATGTTAATGTAATTTTTAATAGATCATGTAAATATATTCTCGGATAAAAAATAATAGTATTGTAATAGGTACATATGTTCACTGACAATTTAAATGTTTTGTAATTAATTTTCAAACATTGAGGTTTATGTTTTTTATTCTACTGTAGTAGTTTTTATTAAGTAATGAACTTTATTTGTAAAACCAAACAATTTTCGTTACAGATTCACAAACACATGACGATAGAAGAATTAAGAAATACATTTCATGTAGATGCACATGATTTAGGTAAGTTATAACTATTTTAGTATTACTGTAGCAGTAGTTTTCTCAAGTAAACTATTGCAATAAATTAAAGGGTCATAAGAATTTCCGAAATTTTTCCGTGATTTTTGACAGACTATATTTAGGTGAAAAATGGTCGTATGGGGAATTAAAAAAAAGGATTTTGAAGCTGTAAGATTCTAGTTTTTAGATCTTTCGGTCGAAATTTTTTAGAAGCTACGGTTTTCATGCAGTTCTAAGAAAAAGCGCGAAAAAAATTATGCAAATTTTGTTTTTTTCTCCACGGACTTGGAAATTTTTTTTTCAGCTAAGTCATTGCATGGACCAGATAGTTTGTTTATTCAGCTTCAATTTCCTTTTTTTTAAATTTTAATACGACCATTTTTCATCGAAATATCGGACTTTTAATGGAAAAGGATCCTTTTGTCTTCAATCATCGAATCTCGACGACAAATGGTCGTACAGAGAATTGAAGGACATTTTCGAAAATTGGAATAAATTTCCTATAACATGCTGACGCAACTTTTCGAAAAAATATTTTCCTTCTTTTACACGAATTTAAGAAAAAACGAAAAAAAGGTAATTTATGGTTTTTTCGAAAATTGACTGCTAAATTAGAAATATTCACAAAATGACTAATGTTTACATGTTTCATGACTTTTACAGTTCGAAATTTCTTTGTTTCAAACAGTTAAACTTTTGAAAAAATGAAAGGGTCACGTTTTTTGAGCTTAAACATTTTATAATCATGATTAAAATGGAAAAAAATTTTTTTAAGGTTTTCTCACATTTTTACCGCAAATAACGTTTAAATTGAAAAATAAATAAAAAAGATCAGAGATGAAAAAGGGTAATTTTGAAAAAAAACTGTTTTTTAAGTGATTACAGACTGCACAAAAATTTGTCTCAAAAAACGGTATGAATCGGGGTCGAAATCTGGTTTGTCATCAACTTTAATTTTAATTTAATTAAAAGTTGATGAACAGAAGCATAGGACGAAAAAGCCGAATCGTGCTGGAAAGAAATGGATTTTGTTGTCTTCAATGTCCAGAAGGTTTTCCACAAAAACAAAAAAATTTTCGTCAATTTAAACCTAAAAATGTGAGAAAACCCTAAGAAAAATATGATTATGAAGTGTTTAAGCTCAAAAAACGTGACTCTTTAATCTTTTTCAAAAGTTTGACTGTTTGAAGCAAAGAAATGGTTCGCTAGATCGAGATAAAACTTCACAGGTTCTTCTGGGTATATCGAACTGTAAAAGTCACGCTTAACATTAGCCATTTCATGAATATTTCTAATTTAAGCGTCAATTTCCTAAAAAAAATAATAAATTACCTTTTTTCCTGTTTTTTTAAATTCGTGTAAAAGATGAAATACATTATACATGCATGTTATAGGAAGTTTATTCTAGTTTTCGCAACTGTCCTTCAATTCTCTGTACGACCATTCGTCGCCGAGATATTGATGATTGAAGACAAAAGGATCCTTTTCCATTAAAAGTCCGATATTTCGCTGAAAAATTGTCGTATCGAAATTTAAAAAAAAGGAAATTGTAGTTAAATAAACAAGCTATTTGGTCCATGGCTTAGCTGAAAAATGTTTTCCAAGTCCGTAGACTCAGAAAAAAAGGAAATTTACAAAATTTGTTTGATGATAACCGTAGCTCCTAAAAAATGTCGACTGAAAGATCTAAAAACTAGAAACTTAGAGCCTCAAAATGCTTCATTTTAATTCCCGATACGACCATTTTTTACCTAAATACAGTCTGTCCAAAAACCCCGAAAAAATTTCAGAAATTCTTTTGAGCCTTTAATTTTTTGCATAAGTGTATATTAAAAAATGGCACCTCTCCCGAGCAACAACGCTTAGGAAGTATAGGAAGTTTACGACATAACGCGTGTTTATTTTGTAATTTCGCACCCGATAATTTACAAAAAGTTTTCTCCAGAACTTTACTAGAATTTTTATTACCTTCTGATGCAGTATTCAGAAATTTTGTTAATTTATTTCAAGGGAAAACTTATTAATTTTCTGCAAGGAGACATTGATTTCAAAAGCCAAAATTTTGGGCTTTTTGGATATCAGTATTTAACTTTTTTGGACGTTTTTATTCCTTGACATATTCATTATAATCCTTGCACCAAGAAATATCCCTCTGTTTCCAAACAATACCGTCGAAATATTACGCAAATTTCTTCCTAAACGCTTAAAACACCAAACAAGCCAGTTATTGTTTGCACTTTTCGTCCGTACGACGCAACAATTTTAACAACACGAAACAGGTACATGTAGCAGAATTAGAAAATCATCCTCACATTACGTTTTCACTTTCATAATAGCTGCAGATTTATTGCTTGTGTTGTAACGTACGACATAAAAACCAAGATTTTTTTACATAATAATATTAATTATTAATCATTTATCGTTCCTTTGTTAAATTTATCATTAACTAATGACAAAATGCATCGAATATGGCGTTTGAATAAACCAGCGTTAAGGCAAGTAGGGCACCAAGTTGCGATAGAACTCTAATACTTTCAGATTTCGTCTAGATACTAGATTTTTGTACAAGTCAGTGATCAATCAAAAGTAGAACTTCTCTGCCCTAATATTTCATATTAGGAATTTTTTGAGAAATAATATGTTAACGCAACTGGATTCAGGAGCTCCCAAAACGGGCCAATATCAAATTTTATCAAAAATTTTTAAATAATAACGATTTTGTAGCTAAATAAAAAATTAAGGTCATTATTCTCCTGGATTTTAATTATCACCTACAGTAGGTATATTTTCCATCAATTTATAAAAAATTATATCAAATAGACAACAGTGTGTAAGAATATACGGCAAATACAGTGAATACAAAACTGTAAAATGTGGTGTTCCACAGGGAACCGTCTTGAGCCCTATAATATTCAACGTTTATTTAAATGAATTATTTGAATTAAAAGTTAATGTTGATGCGGGTGCATTCTTATTTTCTACAAGGCAAAAAATTAGAATGAGTTAAAAAACTAGCAGAAGAGTTTTCCTAACAATCACTAAATGGTTCAATCAATGATTGCTAACTGGATTTTTGCGTAAAATTACACTTCCTAGTCCTGTTTACATTCGGCACGATAATCTCGTAATACTCTGTATATTCACACGGAGGATTGCCAATTATTAAACAAACATGTAACAAAAGTTTACTTCAAGACGTTGCATAAAACAGCCCATGGCTACAAGATGTGTGCTTGCTCGGTGGTTAGTATAAAAAATTGATGTAGTAATTGATTTTTAAACACAACTATCTGCCATTTAAATGTTAGAAAGCTGTTAACGAAAGTGGACCCTCTTTCTGTTGGATAGAAATATATGCGTTCTTGTGTAGTCGATTGCAATTTGTAAAGGTAAATGTCAATTTTATACATGTGTTGGGCAACATAAGCAAAGTTCATTGGTAGATCTTGTTAGGAGAACCTGAAGGCAGCGTATAGATAAAGACTTTAACGAAACTGAATCTTGATCGTTGACATTTGAGATTTTTTTCATAAGGTGTCAAGATAAGTTGATAATAATCAAACTATGTAATGAATAAATAATTGTAGCTTTAACACCAGTCTAAAGATGTACGTTATGTGTACGAAAAAATTGTGAGTACGAGAAAGTGCCAGTTAGATAAAAAAATTAATTAGTTTGGGTAACTTTTTTATCGGTTAAAATGACAACTGTTTTTAACATTCGTTCGGTTCCTATTCCTTTTCCTTTTTAACTTAATTACTCCATTCTTTGTCGTGCTACATATTTTATTTTGAATGTTTGTGCGATTAGAAGTAAAAACAGTTCGTTTAAAAATACATATGAACTGAACCGAACAGAGTAAATGGACTATGAAAATTTATAGGCATACAACCGTTTTGTAAGTAAGTAAAAGCAGAGATAGTTTTTTTTCGACATACCTACGTTGCTACTTACAATGTGCCTTTCAAAATAAACAGGATTTTTAAAAATAAAAATAAGAACAATAACAAGTTTTTTTGGCAAAACCGATTTATTTTATTTAAAATAGTCCCCTTTCAGGATTTCGGTACAAGTCTTTTGTCCTTCGAATGTTGAGTTCTGGGCATTTTTTGGTCGTCAGTCAACTTGTGCGGAACAAACCCTACACATTTTTCGGTAGACCAAATCATTTATGTTCTACAGACCGCTTTTGATTTGCAAGTTTAAAACAAAACTTAATATAGGTCTTTGTTTGATGCTCATTGTACCGATGTCACAAACATGTTGTTACTTCAGAGGCAATAATTTCGCTGTCATGAAGTATTGATAGTATGTCACTAGAAATACTTATTTTTGAATAGTTGTTTTGTTTATTTTGAATCGCACCTTGTAGTTCTATACAAGGAAATCAAAATTTAAGAAGGAGACAGGTTTGATGTTTCTAAAACATCTATAAAATTGTTCACGTCATCCAAAAATTGAGATGTAACGAAAGGTTATCTCTGGAAGTTGTCCAAATCCTTTAATAAGTACAGTTTACTACTTATAATTTAAGTAGTATTTACAATATACAGTACGCGCCTAAAGTATGGAACAAATTCAGTAAAAGCGAAACAAATTTTTTTTGGGAAAAATCCTCGAACAGGTCGATTTTTAATTTAAAAAATACATATTTTAGCATAAAAGGCGATTTTCAACCGTCATTTGTTTTCGAGTAATGACGTCATCGCCATTTTTTTAAATAGCAACCCCTATTTTTTTTCTTGATTCTGAAATATCGTTTCATTGTCGATCCGACAGTATTAAAATGTTGCCATCTTACATAGGAAAGTTTTCGAGTAAATGACGATTGAATGTTAGAAAACGTAAATTTTATTCATTAAAAAAATAACAATTCCTATGTCAAGCAAATACAATTCATTAAGTTTTCTACCTAAATTAAGTGTTCGAATTGCCACCCACCGACTTCTTGACAATACGCAAGTCTGTGTAGAAATTCTTCTTGCACATTATGAATTATT